GCCTATCTGTGTCCAACCAAACACAATCAACTTCTTTCTTTCTTCGTCAGATATATGATTCCATCCTTTTAAAATTTATTTAAGCCTATTTTTGATATCGATAAATTCTTGTGCAGTTTCAGAAAATATCAAGATAAAATCCCAAAATCGAAGCGTGTAATCAGGTAATGATTCAATGTTAAGGGATTATTTTTATGACTATTTTATTCATATTTTTTATTTATATTTTATAGTCCTTGCTATTGGGGTATATTAGATCTCACTGGGGAATCATTGTTCAATTGTAATGAAATCAGTTCTACAACCATTCAACAAATTTCTCAAGAATTTTCAAACTTAATCAATTGGCACCCAGAATCAGCACCGGAAGTTCTCCAAGTTTATTTTGACAACAATTGCATAGAAATGAATGACAAAGAATATAAGAATTTTCATACGAAAATTCAGTATGTGTAAGTGTTGAATGTTCAATATTATTTACAGCATCAGATGAACGCTGACTTGGCTTTTTTCACAGAAAGTCTAATATGGCGTCATTTAAAAGCTCTCTGTCAGAAGATGAATTGAAATTCACCACAATGTACCCAATATTTCGCGGTGTAGTAAATTCTGGTATAATAAAGGATAAATGGTAAGTCTCAATGCATCGTTTTTACGTAAAAAATCAGGTATTTTATGTCTTGTTGTTTTTAGGGGTGAGATCCAATCCTTATCCACGCAAAGTGAAAGAAATTCAAACACCAATCCATTTCAGAGAAGCAGAATAGGCAGAAAAATTGATATGCTGGGGTTCTTGTTGAACACACCAAATAAAATGGAGGTAATATTTGGCGAAGTATCTTCGGGACTAGGGTCATTTGGATTACCAGTAGCGTACAGGAAAAAGAAATATGTCGATAAAGTAAAACTTTCAGTAACGATGAGAGACGCTTTAAATGAAATTTTAAAAGGATGGAATCATATATCTGACGAAGAAAGAAAGAAGTTGATTGTGTTTGGTTGGACACAGATAGGC